GGGGAAGAAGAGCCCGGGGATGACGGTCAAAGAGTTCGCAGAGAGGTCGAGGGACTCCAAAGAGTCAAGGCGGCAGAGTAGGTCGAAGAATCTGGCAGCCGACGAGGAGTTGGGGGCGGTGTATAAGCCGACGCCTGAGAGGTCTAGGCTTTTGACCACCGAGGAGTTTCCTGAAGCAGAGCACTTGACTCTTATCCAACGACAAGGATTTGGGTCACTCGTGTTCCATTTAGCGTTGGGTAAGGAGCTGTGGAGGCTCCGGGAGAGAATCCCCATGATTCGTGTTTGCGTTTGGCTGAGTTGGGAGGTGGAAGTGTCTGCAGAGCCATGCAAAGAAAGCCAGGAGGAGAAGCACAAGAAGAGAAGAGGGAGGAAGAAGGGTGCCACATACGTCTTCATTTCTCCCGGCTCTTCAACAAACACGTAAGTGGAGTGAGAAGATAACCAAGAGAACACAAAAGAATCGAAGATGTTTGACCTCTTATCTGTCTCTCTGGTCTTCGTAGCAGAACCAAAGAAGCAACAAGCAACTTTTTCCATGCTCGTGCTTCGTGGACGGAGGAGGATGATGACCAAAGACAAGAAGACATTTCTTTGTGATCCAACGAGATGATGGAAAGCGGAAGGAAACTGAGAACAACCGAGGGGGACGTCTGTGGAGGAGTGGTGCTTGGGTTGGCCCCTGAATCATATGACTGAGTCACAGCTGCTGATGAGAGTGACTGACTTGGAAAATAAGAGTGAATGCGACGTGGAAGAGACTTGACTTTGTAGGGCGACTTGGGTTGGGAGGTGATAGAAAGTTGGGGCGGGGAAGAAGGAGACGTCAGTGGCCCCACGTTGACCATGACTTTGGATTGACTCAAACAGGATCATATGATCTATTTCTTATGATCACAGCTGCAGTCATGCTTTTATTGCTATTTTCTATGGAATTGTTGACTTGCAGTGTGTATTTGTTAAAGCTTTGATATAAAATTAATTAACATAAATGATATCTTATACAGTAATCCTTTAGTTTAGGTTTACAAAAGTAATACTAATAATATTGATATATTATATACATGTCAACTTGATATGCATGAATATCTCAACATAAATGATGGATTATACTGCTTATGTTTATTTTAAATGGTAGTGCCAAAGACACAACCATATATTATCATTCATTTGATTCCTTGAATGATTTGACATTCCTTGATTTCTCAGTTCATGAGATTGATTAGAATGTATTTATTTAGCTTATAAGTAGGGTTATGATGCACACAGCATATACATCAATAATTATTTTTTAGTTTATTATTGCATGCATATATGACTAATTATAATTATTATTGGTTGTTATAATAAAAATATATTAAGAAAAGCTAAGAAACAACACCATTGGAATATTTGTTAAGTTTATATTATCATGATTAATGTTTAATAACACAGCTAAATAATATAAATGTTTGGTTTGGATTACAAAAAAGATTTTGATGGAAATTAAATTCAACATTACTTAGAATATAAAAATCCATAATTTTCTATAGTAACCCAAAAGGCATAATATTAATTAAACAATCTTTTGCTTTTAATTACCATCACTAATTAGTGCAGATAAAAATTACCATTACCTTTTCTCGAGGTGTCAACACAATTTAAATATATTTTATTTTTTAATTTTTTAAATAGATGAATTATCCGTTTTGTTTGATTTAATACTTATGTATATCCGTGTTTGCACAGTATGTAGAGGGATGACTTAAGCAAAATCAATTAAGTCTGTGACAAATGAGCGGTACGATTTTGCTCTTTCGGAGTATATGAGCTAAGGCACCTCTAAATATAGATATACATAAGGCATAATATTAATTAATCAATCTTTTGCTTTTAATTACCATCACTAATTAGTGTAGATAAAAATTACCATTACCTTTTCCCGAGGTGTCAACACAATTTAAATATATTTTATTTTTTAATTTCTTAAATAGATGAATTATCCGCTTTGTTTGATATAATACTTATGTATATTCGTATTTGCACAGTATGTAGAGGGATGACTTAGATAAAATCAACTAAGTCTGTGACAAATGAGCGGTACGATTTTGCTCTTTCGGAGTATGTGAACTAAGGTACCTCTAAGGGCTAAGGCACCTCTACGGGCAAGATATACATAAGTATTACTTAGAATATAAAAATCCATAATTTTTTATAGTAACCCAAAAGGCATAATATTAATTAATCAATCTTTTTGCTTTTAATTACCATCACTAATTAGTGTAGATAAAAATTACCATTACCTTTTCCCGAGGTGTCAACACAATTTAAATATATTTCTTTTTTAATTTCTTAAATAAATAAATTATCCGCTTTGTTTGATGTAATACTTATGTATATCCGTGTTTACATAGTATGTAGAGGGATGACTTAAGCAAAATCAACTAAGTCTGTGACAGATGAGCAGTACGATTTTGCTCTTTCGGAGTATGTGAGCTAAGGCACCTCTAAGTGTAGATATACATAAGGCATAATATTAATTAATCAATCTTTTACTTTTAATTACCATCACTAATTAGTGTAGATAAAAATTACCATTACCTTTTCCCGAGATGTCAACACAATTTAAATATATTTTATTTTTTAATTTCTTAAATAGATGAATTATCCGTTTTGTTTGATGTAATACTTATGTATATCCGTGTTTGCACAGTATGTAGAGGGATGACTTAGACAAAATTAACTAAGTCTGTGACAAATGAGCAATACGATTTTGCTCTTTCGGAGTATGTGAGCTAAGGCACCTCTAAGTGCAAGGGAGACCTGGACTTATGAGCCCTTGGTTTTCATATTCTTCAACCAACGCGGGACTTAATACCTTATCAAAACTCAAAATCTATTATTGTATATAATAATATAATAAAATAAAATAATTTTCGAAAATATAAAGACTAAAATACTAAGAAGAACTAATTACAAAGAATAATCTATAATTAACCCTAGTAAATATATATAAGAACATCAAGATATCAGTTATTAATTAGGTGGGTATTAACTTAAACGTGGAAGGAACCGTGTCAAAAACCTCAAACGGTATCGACTTTCTCGCATATCAACATTAGAACAAGTCTGATTGATCCACCTCGAACATTTTCCTTATCACCGTCACCTTTTACGTTCAACAAAGCTATCGTGTGCTGCTAAATTCCAGCAAAATCCGTCAGATTACCAGACTGGTCTTCCGTTACGCGTTTCCGATGGTTTGAGTCGCATACATCTTCAACGGATGCATTTATTATGTTTAGAGACGACGCAAATGGCTTCCTGCAAGTCTACGACAGACCTGCTTACGAGTCCAACTTCGAACCCATTCTTCCATGGTTACCCCACGCTGATGTGATCCAATCAACGATGTACTTGTTTTCCACGAGCTGGTCTCCTTACCTATCACCATTTCTCCACCTCCATCTCCCTGCCGGAATACAGAGCTCCTCGTGCATTAAACTATTCCTCGAGGTACTCTGCAACTCCAGAGAATGTTCAGATCTCCTCGAAGAAGACAACTCCTTTTGACTGCTAACATCTCTCTAACAAATCGCTGCTTAGGAACCTTGTCCGTGGAACACGGCTTGTCCACCACTTAAGCCCAGGGTGGGCGGAAAGGACCCAAACCGGCGGTTTGGGATGGTGGTGGGAATCCAAGACCGGGAAATCCAAAGCCACCACCACCACCTTTGTGAGACCATTCAAAGTCACCGTCAAACTGTGGGGCTGCCGAAGGAGACATCTCACACCAAAGAAACCTTCCGACTCCCTCTTTCTCCCCCACTTTCTTCCACCCTCTCTTAAGACCTCCAAAGTCAAGCCTCTCTCTTCCACCCTGCATTCACTCTCATCACCTATCTCTAGTCTACGCTACTGTTGGAATCCCCAGTCCAGTCTGTGACTCAGTCAACTGTCAGAGCCCAAGCGTGGAAAACCTGCACACGCACACACACATTTCCCAGTTCCCTGTGTTCTTTTCTCTGCATCTTCCCGATGGACTACAAATAAAGTTCCAGTCTTTAATCCTATTTCGGTCTGTCTCTCTTTCCATATGACACCAGTCCTTGGGAACTGTTGCCCAGCTAGAAGAGAGAGAGGAAGAGAGATCAAAGATCCTGCCTTTGTGTTATCTTCTTGATATTTGTTTCTCATCTTCTCGACTCTGTTGCATTTTTCCTCTTTTACACGCAGGAGGTTGAAGAAAGAACCTTTCCGCGTTGTATGATCCATCCAACGGTCAAAGTCCCTGCCTCAGTTTTCTGCATGAGGCTCGCACCTTTATAGTCTTATCTCCTTCCTCTTAAACCACCGACTTCAGGTGATCGTTCTATCACAGAAGAGATGGTAGAAATGGGGAGGTATAATGGCCCCTTCTTCCTTCCTCTTTTCTTCTTGTGCTTCTCCTCCTGGCTTTCTTTGCATAGCTCTGCTGACACTTCCACCTCCAAACTCAGCCAAACGCAAACACTAATCATGGGGAATCTCTACCGGAGCCTCCACAGCTCCTTACCCAACGCTAATTGGAACACTAGTGACCCAAATCCTTGTCGTTGGATAAGGGTCAACTGCTCTTCTTCAGGAAACTCCTCGCTGGTCAAAAGCCTAGACCTCTCCGGCGTCGGCTTATACACCGCCCCCAACTCCTCGTCGGCTGCCAGATTCTTCGACCTACTCTGCCGCCTTGACTCTTTGGAGTCCCTCGACCTCTCTGCGAACTCTTTGACCGTCATCCCCGGGTTCTTCTTCTCC